TACTGAGAGACAGTGCATGTTCCCCCTCTGCATTAACCAATTCTTCATGGATTCTAGTTGCATCGCGGCCATTCTTCCAAGAAACAAAAATATAGTATCGCTGGTTCTCTTGACTCATTTTCGGTCAATTGTTTTAGTAAGGTGGTAAAAAAAATCAATTTCTCGACAACGAATAAATGAATTCCGATCATATTTTTTTTTCTCTGTTCCTTGAAATGAGGCGCATTGAGGCGCATTTTCCATTTTGGGTTTAGGTAGATTTTCGCTGAAACACAGCCACACGCGCAAGACTTTTCGACCACCCACGTATTATCACCCACCCAATAAATGTTCCATATGTCTTTTAGATCAGTAAGCACTCCGAAAACCTTAATTTTGTCGTTTACATAAAGGTCAGCAGCAATCATCTCCATAATAGCTTGATACACGTGCACAGGTTGCACTTCCTTTTTCAATTCAATAATTGCATGAATTCCGGCCTTGGTCATACTAGGATAATATCAGTTCCACCCCGAAGATCATATGGAAGTTGTGGATGGTCATATATATCGAGAAACTCTTTATCGTTGGCGACGTTGAGCATCATTATTTCGGAAGGAAGCTTCGGAACGAGATGTTTTTCAAGGTATCTGATGACTTCCTTTTGTTGTTCTACGTGACTTTCAGCATAATTTGACCACTCATACGGCTCTATATCTTTACTTGGCAACCGTCCTTTATATTCCAAAGTCTCGAGCATGATTCCGGTGTAGTTAAGAAATTGTTGAAAATTTTTCGTATTGACTGAAGAGAATGAAATGACATCGATTTTTTCCGACGTCGTCTTTTCATAGATTGTGTTGATTTTGTTAATAATATCCTCGGTTACAGATATCTGGGAAGCTGAAAGCAACTAAATGCCGTCAGTAACGGGAATGAAAAAAAAAGAGTTCCGACTATAGTAAATAACGTTAACGTAACCGTATAGCAGTATTAAATTCAGAATAAGAAAACTATACCCTATGTCTATTGTACACACTACCCCACCATATGTACTCTATGTCCCCAACGCCCAAGTCACAAAGTCGTTACCTGATTGATTGCTTGCTGCAAGCAACGCGCTACCCCACTTCTTCTTTTCTTCCATTTAAAAACTCTTCTCTCCCACCAACTCGTCCATCTCCCTGGTAGCTTTCCTCTGCACCCTTCCTCAATATCAATGCCTCCAACCTGTCCAGTTTAGCGTTAGCTCGATCCAACTCGCTTTGCATGTGCGCGGCATCCATGTTTGAAGTGAAGTGATGTGCTGCGCGATGTGATCTAATACACTAACGTCTTAATCAATTGGGACCTTTCTAGATCTTTTTTAAAATGGTACTATTGTTCCCCTGTATGCAGAATGTGACCAATGATAATTGATGTGCAGAAATTTGCGCATTAATGACGTTTAGTTAGAATATCGTGACTCAAAAAGATTCGCTATAAAAAACGACAGAAATCGAGCTAGTTTACAAAAAAACTGCTTTACAAAAATCCATCCAACAAACAAAAGCTTTATTTAAAATGTAAGTCAATCAAATTTATTTGACAAAAAAATTGGTTTCAACTATGAGCTACAATGTCGCTGCATTGACTCCGCCAACTAGTTATGAGTGTTTTCAAGAATATTCTTCACATATTTGTTATAAATCTTTTCGATTTTAGCATCAGATTTTCTACGTTGTTTTATATTTGTATTGAATTTATCCCGACTGTTGAAATGTTAGCCCCATAATTTATCCCGCAAGAACTCTTTGGAACAACCACCCGTATGTTTGTTTTGACTCATAGTCTTGTTGAATTTTCATCGATTCTCAAGCATTCTGTTAACATTATGGGTATTTTTGAAAATTCATCGGTCGAAAGCAAATTACACATGTTTTTCTCTTGCTAAAAATTAATTTTTTTTACAGTCAAACCGATGTAACTGTCCTCACCATTTTCTATCGGTTTTTCCAATTACGATACATGTATCGTTAATTATAATATCAGTTTGTTGAGGCCCAATCTGCTATGCCTATTGCCAAAATATCGGGTTTGTGAGATTTATATTTCACATATGTTATCGGTTTTACGAATATTGTTTATTATAAGTGTTTCGAAATTGAAAAAGTATCGTTATCGGTTTTGAGCGGTATCGCTTGTCTGAGGGTTGACTGCACGTTTTACTCCGGAAAAGTTGCAATATTACCATGCATGTAGCAGTGTTCGTTCGATGGCAAGCACCAAAATTGTTCAGATTAGAGATGTATTGCAGATATTACAACATACAGTATGGGAAGAAAAAACTTGCCCTTCGTAATTTTGTAATAACTCAAGCAACCATCAATGCAAATTATTTCATTAATAGCTCATTTAAATCTGCGAAACTTGCCAATTTTATTAAAATTAATTCGTTCACCACCTTGTTCAATAATTGCTTCACAACGTCTTTTCATTGAACCTATTAAATTTTTTTATAATAATATTATCCCACTCCTCGACCATAAACCGCTTCAAGTCATCAAGATTTTTTGGTTGCCGTTTTTCTTAACAATACTCCATAGGTTTTCTATGGGGTTGAGGTCTGGACTATTGGACGGCCAGTCAATGACCTCAGGCATGTTTTCTCGAAGAAATGCTAAAGCAACACGGCTAGTGTGCTTAGGATTATTGTCTTGCTGAAAGAGCCAGACATGTCCCAGCATTTGTTGAATCTCTGGTAAGTGTTGCTGAAGGATTTCGACGTAATATGGTCCGGTTATTATTTGCCGAAAGCAAAAAAAACTTGTCTCTCCTTGCATACAAAACCCAGAGGGCAGGTTTTTTCTTCCCATACTGTATGTTTACCGGCATCGTCTTGCCTCTGACATTCTATGGCTAGCTACCTGGGAAAGCACTTTACACTCTTTCACCAATACCATATCGCACAGGTAAATGATAAGATCCATATGATCTACGCATTCTCAACCAGCCCAACACACCTGTCTGCGCCTAACATCGATTACAATGTTTTATCCTATCCAACAAGCAGCAATAACCATATTTTGAAATGCCTTTAGTCAAGGACCGTCGGAAGAAACTCGTATTTCCCCATTCACTGCCGTCACCAACCAACTTATTGGACGCCTCCTCTCCCTTCGCCGCACTAGATCTACAGATTGACCCACTACTACCTTGGGTCTCTCCCAGTAGAATACAAACAATTGTAATTATAGCCAAAAAATTGACGCCCTCCTCCCCTAGAATAATCTGACCATATGGGCATCTTTTTGCAAGATATGTAAAGATAAACTGAGCTTTAGCGAGCACCTTGTTGTGAATGAGTGTTCCAAAAAATTTAGCAACTGAAAAACCTCTCGCAATCTACAATATAAGTTTGCAGCGCCTTTAAAAATATCATTGCTTACACTTTTTAAATATGGCAATGTACCGTGTTCGGCATAGTCAACGTGCTTTGCCATTGACTTCTTTGTGATGCTTTTTTTACGACACATAATTGAAGAGACGTATTACTACAAAATATTAGGGGTACACATCTATTAAACCCGATACAGTCGTTGTTATGCTACCAGACTGGAAGGAAAAGACAGGAATACAAAGTAAGGTTTAAATAATTTACGTTATTAGAAAATACCAATTTCGAATAATTTATTTTCATCCCTTCGCAAATTTCGTAATCACGTGACTAAAGCAAATGCATGCATGATCACTGCAACATGAAGTGAGCTATGTTTTTGGACAAGCATGCGCATATTACAGCTCACCTTTCCGATAAGATTAGATTTTGCATATCTCTTGCTCGGGCAATCGCATATCAGGAAACGGATGCTTTTTTTTTTTCACGGGACGTGGGGCATGTAATACAATCAGATTAAGCTTAGTTTGAAAAAATCACGAGTTCAAAGAATAATAGGTTTTGTGTCTGGTGGAAACATTTACGCCTCAAACAATGGAAAGTGTGTGGGCGTTTAGTTCTTATGTTACGTTTTTATGGACTGTATTACTCCATAAATAGTCATTGTAAAAACTCGGAGACCGAGCTTCAGCCGCATTTACGTAATACAGTATTTGTATATGGCATCACTTAAAAACAACCTAACCGTATTTGATTTAGAAATTATTGAACGATATCTTTTTTGGTAATAATGCGGAGCATATTAAAACAAAAATGAGATGAGATCCCGTTTTGCAAATGACATTTATATGCAGACTAACACAGTAACCCCCCACTCTTTTTGTAATATGCTTTGGGTGCATGGCATTATAGCACAATGGATATTTATCACAATTATATTTAGGGGGCTACTATAGTTGGAAAATGCCACATATTGCAAAGATCCATGCCACTGGTTCTGATGTTTAACACCCTTCTATCGTCATGCTTGGCAAAATATCACCTTTCGGACGGCTCAACTAATTATTAATCTGAACATTGTTATAACAAAGAACACGTCATATCGTACAAATATAAATAATAATAATTCCGTTAATGATATCCTAAAAGGGAATTCAATTTACAAAAAGCCGATTGTCTGTGAACAGTTATCGTGGGACGAAAAGACAAAATCTTTTCGCTATTATTTATATTTCTTTTTCCACAAAGGTTCCTGTGCCTACACGTGACTTGTCGTTAAAAGTCTACTCAGCTTCAATCGTCTTGAAATTTTGATCTTTCTTTCAAATAGATATACATACTACTATTACTACTATTACTGCGACTATATTACTACTACTACTGCTACTGCTGCTACTGCTGCTGCTGCTGCTATTATTGTTACAGCACAAGTATAATATATCACCATATATCCACGTATATATATCAAAGTCGGCTTTTTGTCTTCCGAACTTACACCTGGAACAATTATTTTCCCTTCTCTGAATACTTTCGTCTATAAAACATTGTATTTGTGTTAATATTCATATAAATTAAGTGATAATTTATGAGATTTTTCTGAGGTAAGGTCTGCCAGCTTTGTTGTTTGCGAGAAGCTCGGGATTCTCTGGACGTTGCCTTTTTGTATCGTAGCATCACTTTTTTACTAAAATACATCGACTTTTCCTGATTCCATATTGACTTTTTCATGTTTCTTATTACAACTGATTCCGCAAACGTGCAATAAAAAGAATCAAATTCTTTCATCAGAGTATACCAAGTCTGCAAGATCAGTACAATACGTCGTCCAAACACTTTGACTGTATATAGATAATAGCGAACTCTTACATCTTATATAACACAAATATGAGCGCTTCAACAAGGAAAAAGGACGCCATTAGGCGTAAATTGGTAATAGTCGGGGATGGTGCTTGTGGCAAAACATCTCTGCTGAATGTGTTTACATTGGGATATTTTCCAAAGGTCTGCTCTATGTCCTCTTTCCATTCTTGTCCTCTTCTATTTATGCCTTTCAATTAACTTTCTTTTGTTTGTGAATAGGACTATGTAGGTTATTCTATTGATGTCTATCGACATACATGCGGTTGCCATAAACTTAGTCGTTATGCTGAAATTGTGTGTTTTTAGGTGCCAACTGTATTTGATAACCTCGTCACAGACATCAAAATTGATGGTAGACTGGTTCAACTAGCTTTATGGGATACAGCGTAAGTGTTGACTACGGTTGTTTTTTATGGAAAAAATATGAGAAGTAAACCAATAGACATTATTGGTATATCGTTATATGCTGTATGCTATTGACTGCATCGACACCATTGTATTCCTTTTTTAATTATTGATCTTTCATCGTTATCATTCCCAAAACCATTAGAGGTCAAGAAGACTACGAGGTATGTCGATGGTCAACTACTTGGTGAACCTTCAATTTTTATCCAGAAAAAAGAAAGGCGTATGTGGGTGCATTCCATAAGCGAGGGGGTGGGACAACGAGTACCGAAAACTTAGAGAGAGTATGGAGGACTTGGAGGATACTAACCCAATTATCTTTTATGTGTATATTTTCCCCTTAATGACAGCGTTTGAGACCCCTTTCCTACTCTAAAGCACATGTCATTCTCATCGGGTTTGCTGTCAATGCTCCTGACTCATTCGAGAGCGTAACTGCCAAGGTAACGATAACAACGACTAACTAGATGCACAGTCACTACATGGCTTGAGACGTTATTTTGCTGAAAATTTTTCTTTATTTTTTGGTAGTGGATTGGAGAAGTAAATAGTCTATGTCCGGATATTCCAGTAATTCTCGTTGGTCTAAAAAAGGATTTGAGAGAAAATCCCGAGTCAAAAAGACTTATGGAGGAGAGTAATATATCATTTGTAGATTCAATACAGGTATCGTATTCTACTCATAGCACGTACTCTTATCGTATCGTAATTATTAACTTTACGCATGGCTCTTTATTTTTAAAAAGGGAGAGGCGGTGGCACAGCAGATTGGTGCGCGCAAGTATATTGAATGCTCAGCTCTCAGCGGCGAGAATGTAAATGATGTCTTTGAAGCAGCAACCAGAGCAGCGTTGTTGAGCTCAGCAGAAATTAAACCTCCTTGCTGTGACTGTGTCGTGCTGTAGAACTCGTTCTTTATACAAGTAAATATCTCACAAAGACGAAAGTACCTATTTTTATTTCTTATATTTTATTGACATCCTTCTCTTGAAGTATTGTATAACAGTATTTTCGGTTATATATAGGAATTATTGATTGCACGAAGTGCAATATTCCAAAGAAAAATGATTTTGAATAAATTATATATGGACTTCGCTTATTTCTTCTGGAAGATAACGTACCAATTATCTTTATCATATCCAGATTCTATAATTTGGGTATTATCGATTTGTCTAATTAAACTTTCCAGTTCACCCTTTCTAAATAAGTGATAATATCTAATACGGAATAGTGATAGTAACGAATTAAATACTATTTTATTTCTACGTGAACCTTACTGGCTAGTTGCCTACCTCTGATACACTTTTCCTGTAGTGACTCCTTGATCTTGCATTGACCATGGAACGAAAACGTCTTGATGATCAGGAGAGAATTGCCTGCGGCTAGACTGTTCGAGCGCCCAAACGTAAGTCAAGATTTTCGATTCTGGTAAAGCGATACGGTGAAGTTCCTTTTTTCACTCAATAGGAATTAAGCTCTTAGTACTTAGTACCCAACATCAATACAATATGTTCGATATGCTCAAGACACATCACCCCACCTTTATAGCGGCCAATCGTCGTTCTTCAGTGGTGAAATGATGTATCACCGCTATCGAAATCACAAAATCCTTTTGTCTAGTGTTAGCCAATTATCTCAATTGATACGATAAACAAACTACGAACGGTCATACGACTTACAAAACTGTCGCTTCGAAAAGGAAGATTGAGAGCATCACCAACTAGAATATCAAATCCTCGCTCGTGGGCGATCTGACAAAGCGTAGGACTCCTATAAACGGATGTAGTTGAGTTTATTCTGTGAAACTTACAACATTGTATTTTGTATGCTCACCTGTCGGATCCAATGATTATAACGTCTTTGTTGATATCCAAGTATTTCCCATTTCCACATCCAATGTCTGCTCCAATACTTCCAACCGCCATGTTTTTTAAAAAATTTTCAACTACAGGCCATGGCTACTGAAAGTTCATACGCGTCATCAATCAATGGACAAGGACATTGATTAGAATTTATAATAAATAGAAACCTTATATCTAGTGGCACTAAAATGAGTGGCTATGGCCTCGTACACATCATGCACATGTGCTTGTTCTGTCTTCTCTGATACGAACGAGTCGTTGGACTGAGTCACTGCCGTTGGTACAGGTTTTGTAGGTGGCATTATCGCTAGTAGGTCTCGATATCAATATGGGACGCACGAAATACCTGTATGTACACTATTTTTTGTCACGTGGATCAAATGATCATCACATTCCGTATGGGCGAATAAAAAATGAAGCGAGAAACGAACTTTCAAGTGAACAGCGTGGCGTATAATCGGCGCGCACCTTAGCGGAGTGAAACAAAACGTTATTTTCGCTCAACTAAACATTGCCCCAATTCACAGTGAATTCTACAATTAGACGATTATAAGCAAACACACCCAAAGAAACGTCCGCCCAAAAGCACTTACTGAACGGGATAGACGCGTTCTAAAACGCATGCGAAGGCTGAATGTCAACAGCTCGCTAATCCACCGCGTTAACGCAAATTTATCACTTAGTATTAGTTGACGGAAACATGGATTCCAAAAACCTCTGGTGCAGACGAAGCAGGATTTAATAACTACAATTCAATCGAGGAATAAAATAATATTGGCTTTAGAGATGTAGTTATTGTGGAGATGAAAGTCACAAAAATCCGGTGAGGTAGTGTATATGATTACGTAACAATGTAATAGATTAGTAGACTTTTATTCACAGCAAGGTGCTCGCTAAGCCCAGTTTAAGCTGTTCGTAACAATGTAATAAAACCTGCATCGTGCCGAATTTATGAACCATGTGATCAAGGGATATGAAAATATTAAATTTATTACAATTGTTCAAAAACACTGGAAGGGATATAACACGATGTCGCCTATACTGTCTACTAAGTCCTTTTCTATAGGCATCCATATATCGGAAAGACTTGCGCATAGCCACGAATTTGTTTTAAAGGAATTAGCTCAAACGAATCAGTCTGCATTCCAGGGCACAGATTGTCCAGAGTTCCACTGAGAGTCTGTCACCATCGCTAATTTCACATAATGGGGCGGATACGCGAGGTGGGACAAAGTCATGTTAGATGGTAAAAAACTTTCATAATTGATATGAACACGAAAGATTTCCAAGTATTATAAAAGAAATCGTCTGATGAATTGTCAAAAGTATCTAACGCACAATGTTAAAAACTCTTGAATTTAGCTGCATTGTTCTGTTGTGTTAATAAAGCTAACATATATTGACAAGACTTTTATAATGTTTTCCCAACAATTCCTGCCTCTTGATATTGTTTAACCTTTTCACCGCTCAATCCTAGTATATCCATAAATATTTCTCGATTGTGCTGTCCGAGGTCAGGACCTGCCCAATTGCTTTCACCAGGTGTCTCTTCGAGTTTAGGAGGTATTGCTGGAATCTGGCAATGTTAAAAAAAACGCGAGAGTTTTGATCAACGACCTTTGTTTCTTCTGACCATTCCCCATTTATCCGCAACCTACTTTAACGTTCCATCCATTTTGCCCACCGACTCTAACATCCTCACATATATTCCTTTCGACGACATGTGGGTCATTGACAAAATCTTCGATATTATATATGCTCCCAGACGGCACATTTGCCTTCTCTAAATTCTCCAAAACCTCCTGTGAAGTCAACTCTTTTGTCCACGCACTTATCGCATCATCAATTTCTTCCTGTCTCTTGACTCTCTCTTTATTAGTAGCATATTCTTCAGACGTTAAATCCTCCCGGTTCGCTGCAATCATCAACCGCTTGTAAATCGAATCACCATTTGCTCCAATAATCACATACTTTCCATCTTTACACGGATACGCGTTCGTAGGGACTATGCCAGTGACGGTAGTACCCGATGGTTGTCTTATTGTTTTGAATCGATCATATTCCGGAAGAATGCCTTCTGTCATGTTAAACATACTTTCAACGATGGAAATATCGATAGTCTGACCAGATTTGTGTTGGGTATGCGATAACCGTTGTTTCGCTAGCAAACCGAGGACAGTGCCAAAAGCGGCAGTTAGACCAGCCACAGAATCCCCGAGGGAGATATTGGGGCGCACTGGAGCCGAATTGGGATATCCATTTATATATCGAAAGCCAGCCATGGCCTTGAGTTTATTTATTTGAATAAGAGCAAATGGAATTATAAATGATTACACATAAGAAACATGCAAACGCATAAAACATAGATACCCACGGATGAACTTGGGTAATGACATACCTCACATACGGAAGCATAGCCGGGTTTCATTGCATATGGTCCAGTCTGCCCATATCCAGACACTCTCGTATATATTAAGCCGGGGTTTGTCTCATAAAGCACATCTTTAATAGGAACACCGTAATCACCACTTAGTTACAGGCTATTGCATAATGGCTATCTATCTTAATTAATCTTACCTGGCCCAAGACCCCATCTTTCCATAGTTGTCGGACGAAAATTCTCAATAAGCACGTCTGACTTATTAGCCAAGTCTTTTACAAGACTACAGGAAAGGAATCATTTTTTCGTCGTAAATAAATTCTTTTACTAAATAACATCCAATATCTTTGTCACGAACACTTTTTCGGACTTAGCACCATTCAATTTAACAAATCGCGTAATGACGAAATCATTATTATTAATCTTTCAAGCATCTCAAGTCCATATAATAAAGGAAATCTTGTGTAAATTGTTCCGAAATGTCGATATATTTAGCTATAAATATGGTTTCTATACATATCGTCGTATGCTGTCAACTAACTATCCTTTCTTTCCAGATGATGTTACTCTTCTCAATGTTTTACCTTCTTCCTTCTTCAGTCCTTAAATTAATTTCGCATGACTTCTTATTCCTTGCAATAGATCTATACCATGGACTAACGCCATCAGAGTCTATGTGCCTCCATACGCGTATAGGATCACCCGATTCCGGTGGTTCTACTTTTATCTTGAGGCGGTGTAGTCTAATGAAACGACCTGTAACGAACCGTTGCGCGATATTGTTTTAACGTATGTTATTCACATACCACTTCTGCTCCAAAATACCTACGAATAGAAAATGCATGAGTAAGTTTACAAATTGATGCTAACATTACACGTAATGTTACCCTAATATTGTTCCACAGAATGGTCCCGCTATGAGCTGGTTGAGTAAATGAAGATGATTTATAAATGTATTGACCGATTGTTATATCGATTGTTAATATATGCAAATAAAGATCGTACCTGACCGAGCTCTAAAACGCGTATACCTTCGAGCGGTTTCGGTAGACGACCACTTTGCGAATCTGTTTCGTTAGTAACGCCCGTCAATTATCAATCAGGCGTATATCCCAAAGAGTGAAATATAGCACTATATTTTTTACAACATACGAAGGTGGTGTCTGATTCCTCGAAGGAAAGGAGCTTGCTTTAGGCTTCGGTAGACATCTACTTTGCGAGTCTGTTTTTACGGTACATATGATAAAAGTGATAATAGCGTGAGTCAATGTCAATATAATTTTCCAATACGGGGCAATTATTATCCCAATAATATTAAAAACTTACTAATATCAATGCCGTGTTTAGCATTGTATTCTATGATGCAGAACGAAAGAAAAAAAATGTCTTGGATATAGTTTAAGCACGTGATTCACGTGATTTAAGCGTTCAACCATAAAAAATTTACGGACACATGAAACTTATCACATAAATTGTCGCACTTTATTGGTGCTTGACAGGGTCATAACAGAAAGTATAATGGATTCAATCTGAAAAAATGTGAAAGTTGCAGCAAACGAAGTAATAAAGATATTGTATCCATTGCGATATATAAGTAGCAGCGACAAGACCAGATGGACGTTAATGTTAATGCAAAGTATCCCACGGCATCATTAATCATGCGCTTTCATAGTCTACACTTTGAGAAATCGAATACATTAGCAATAACTCAGCGCTCGATTGCCTACTAATGACAATATTTATTTTCTTTATGCTCTTTGGATTGCATGCATCCTGTAGTTGATGCATTATAGTTGAGCTATCGGAAGGCCTGTGCAGCAAGCATTTGGTAACCAGTTCCAGAACAAGTTTTGCTCGACAAGATCGGCCGACAATGGTTGGATATATTTCTGTATTTGTACAATAATAGTAATAACGGTTTATCCAGTAATATCTCTAACTCGGAAGGGTTTAGCGTACAAAGCCCTATGTAGCAAATATAATAAACGTTGGATTCAATCAAATTATAATTAACCTTTCCACCTTTACTCTCAACGAAATATATACTTTTACTCTCCTTTATAATTAATATCCCCTGTACGGGTCATTACTGTACCTTTCCGACTCCCTTTCTTTCCTCAACACCCTCTGCCGGACACAAACACCGGCGTCTACTACATAGACCAACCATTATTATAGGGAATATATCTCTATATAACACTCATTAGTTTTTTTTGGTGGGTTGTAAACATTTGTCGTCATCATATTTTTTAGCAATATACTCTGGTTTTTTACTCACAAAGACTTCTAGTCAATGCTACGTACAGCGACAATTGACAACAGTCATGCCATATAACAGTTTTGACCAAAGTTCCGGAATAGGCCTAACCTCAAATGGAGAAAAGTTAAAAAGCAATAGACGACACCTGTGGAAGATAGTACTTGTAGCGCTCGTTTTAATTGTTGCTGGCGGTGCATCGGTTTACTTTTTTGTCATCAAAAACAAACCTCAAAACGCTAATGTAGTCACAGACGACCAGTCAAATGACAATCCTTCATCCTCTAGCAATTCTACTAGCCCATCCCAAAATTCGACCGACCCAAACAACGGGCAGAACCTTTTTGATGATTCACATGCTCCAAACAACTATACACCCCCGATAGACCAGCCTTTCCCTTACGGCAAGCAAGCAATTCGTGGTGTCAACCTCGGCGGATGGCTTGTCCTCGAACCATTCATCACCCCATCCTTGTTTACTACTCCAGGAGTTATTGACGAATGGACTCTTTGTGCTTCTCTTGGTCCAACAAAAGCGAAAGACGTCATGGATAACCATTATTCTACTTTTTATACCGAGGATGATTTTAAGCAGATTGCTAGCTACGGTTTAAATTTTGTAAGAATTCCGGTTGGATACTGGGCCGTCGATATAGTAGCCGGCGAACCATATGTACCAGATTTAAGTTGGACTTATTTGCTGAAGGGGATTAATTGGGCTAGAAAATACGGATTGAGAGTGTTGCTAGACTTGCACGCAGTTCCCGGAAGTCAGAATGGATGGAATCATAGCGGTTAGTAGGGTAACTTGGTATTGCGACAGAAAACTCTATCGACATCGTTTCGAATAGCAGTAGTTATGCTACCCATCGGAATTAATATGCATATTATGAGGCTATTTTGATGTTATCAATGTCCCGCGGTGTAATAATATATCATGCTTTTCATCCACACCGTAAATATAGGCAAACAAGGAACTATCGACTGGCTTAGTGGACCTGATGGCCCGGCAAACGCTCAACGATCACTACTTATTATCCAAAAACTGGCAACGTTCTTCAGTGATCCCAAGTACATGCACGTTGTCCCTTTCTTTGGAGCACTCAATGAGCCGAGAATAAATTTCGGTGGTCTCCAGCAAAATGCTGTACAGAACTGGTACTTACAGGCTTATAAGACAATTAGAAATACGAATGTTACTGAAGACTGGAGGCCATGGATAGTATTTCATGATGGATTCGTTGGATTTAATACTTGGACTGGATTAAAAGGGCTTGATAGAGTTATTCTTGGTAAGCATTGCTCTATATGCATTAATCCGTATTAGAGAACTGGTTATTATAATGAGTTATTCACTCTCTACCTAATAATTTATGTAATTGATTTTCTGCAGACACCCATAGCTACATCGCGTTTGACCCCAATTTGTCTAAACTTCCACCAACCTCTCAAATCGTCTTCCCATGCGCTAAATGGGGTCCTCTTCTTCAAACCGCCAACCAAGTAGTACCTTTCGCTATCACTGGAGAATGGTCTGTATCGACTAACGATTGTGCAACATTTCTAAACGGCGTAGATGGCAAGCCAAGCTATGAAGGTTCCTGTCCGACATGCACGTGCACCGGTGCCCTTGATTATAAAAACTATAGCGCTCAGACAAAAGATTTCATGAAACAATTTTTCCTTGCTCAAGTTGATGCGTTTGAGATGGGAGGAGGTTGGTTTTTTTGGACTTGGAAGACTGAGAATCATGTTAATCCTACTTGGGATTATCAACTTGGAGTGGTATGTTTTGCATTCAAACCAATTAGTTATAAAGAAAGACCACCAATAGTGTCACAAATTGCTTGATGTATATAACGCGTGTGAGTAGTTTTAACCTGTATCCTTTTATAATCGCAGGAACAAGGGTGGATTCCGCAAGATCTCCAAAACCGTCAAGTAACATGTGCAGGACTAAAGGCGCAATATCCAGACGCATTCGCTTCTCTCGCATAAGTTGGTTCAGACTTATACGCAGGCTTAGTGACCCAATCTTCGGTTTAATGGCATTTTACCTGAGAACTTTATTCCTCTTATACTTACCTTTCCTTAATTCGCGAAAACGAGTTGAATAGAAAGATAATATATCTTATATACATATATTCCGCATTTGCATATACTTTTGTTAATTTGTTAATTAGTGAATTTTGCGATTGTAAACAACTCTTAGAAATCAATGTAATAATAAAGGTGTCACAATTGGGTGATGGGGTAATATTAAACTGTGCATATTGTATCGTTTACATTATTCTTAATGACCCACGTTTTTGATTTTAGAGACCATTTATTTTTCTATTACCTAATTTCCTGCTTACCGTCGAATTAACTCTAGGTTGCAATGAGCTGAACGCTTGCAAATTGTAATCACAGTTTGCATTTTGTGCTTTCTATTGATGGCATCGTCTACTGCTGCACCATTCAAGGACTCTTATTATTACTTTAATCTCATCGTTGTTGTCCAAACGAAGATAATAATGCAGTAATGTCAATGTTTGCATTTTTTTGTTTTGGTTAATCACTTTTTCAATAGAGTTTTACATCAGGCTGCTAGTCTACAATAGTCAAATACGTGGGGGGTTTGAAAAGTTTTGCGCGTAGATCTTTATTTCCAGAAGTTTCATAATAAGTATCAATATGACTATTTTGTTCCCTCAAAGTACTCTCCATTAATGTCCATGAAACATTGCAGACGATTCTGTCAACTCTAGAAAGACTTCTCATAGTCGGCTTTTGGGATGGTTTTAGCAACTGCCTGAACCTCATCAAATCTTTTTCCCTTCAGTTGTTTCTTTATTCGAGGGAAATAAGAAAAAATTACAAGAAATACGGTCTCGGCAAATAGAGAATAAGTTCCACTTCGTTTGGTATGACATGATCGTTGCCTTATGTGGCGCAGCATTGGGGTTTACGAACAGTTGTTCGTCCCTTTCTTCTGGAGGCACTGGTTTGGTTGGCTAAAATGTTAATAGAAATGTGCGGGTTATTGCTGACAAAATTCTCGATTTTGGCAATTTTTTCTGACGTCACTGCTTCGCGAAGACGGCCAGAACGAGCCTTTGTCTCTAATATTTTCTTATTCGTGTTTGAATGTAACAATCCAACGTCTAATTGCGCTGGTAGACAATATTTGTTTCCTTTCTATATTCACCAACTTATCGTAGATTTGAGTCGCATTTCTGCCATTTTTCTAAGAAGCAATAATAAAGTGTCGTTAGTTCTTATGGCTCATTTTTTCCAGTTGTTTTACTATGCTTTGTAAAAAAAAAGGTTTCTCGACAACGAGATAATGAATTTGCCTCTACTTTTTTTTCATCAATTACATGAAAGTATGCCCGCTTTATGATTACTCCAATTTTTAGTTAAACTGTTACAATCTCGAGTTAGAGAGCCACACGCAAAACTTTTCAACCCCCCCCCCCACGTAATTACACAGCCAACTCCGTTAATATTAAACCGTTTAACGGATTAACGGTTTCTATTACGGATGATATTTTTTCCTTTTTTTTGATTGTTATTTACCGGAAAGGTTGGACGATGCATGATTGTCGGATTATAGTAATATACAGTTTAGGTAACAAGGACAATGTTTGAATTCAGAACTTATATTCGCATTCACTGTCAAAAGGTGGGCATAGTACATTAATAAATTAGACAAACGGTGTTAAACAACGCGACCAAAACAACCGTTTACGCGATTTCGAATAAACCACATTTATTGTATTAGTGCGTTTACTAATTGTTACCGCGAGATTCTCACATTTAAAATAAAATACAAGAAAAATAGTTTAAGTCCACATTTTTAACGCCTCTGGATCAAACAAAATTACTTACCAAAGTGCAAATAAATCAAAAAGACGTATGACATCTCAACTGAAATATTGCGAAGATGACAAGACTCTAAAGAATTTCTATGGTGTCAGGACACCTAGTGGGAAACGACTCTACCCAATTTCAGTGACAACCCGCGCAAAAGCCAAAATCTGCTACGCCAGAGTCAGTTCAGAGCATCAGCGAGGCGACCTTGAACGACAGATTGCGAATCTCCGACAGCACTACCCGGGGCTCAAGGAAGGTAGGGGTCTGTTGCCCTTCTGGAACGAATACACTCGAAGAAGTGGTGTTACCCGAAAGGTTTGAATCTAATTATTTATTTCTCTTTTATTTTACTACCTTTTCTATTAGGACTGATTGTGCCGTTTTGGATTCGAGCTTGTGGAATGGATCTTGGGACTCGGCTCATGGTACTCAGTACGGACGTCAGTGCCGAAAGTAGTGAAGCCGGAGAACTTGCAGAAGACTTACTTTTGCAATCATCACAGTATTTGTGGCGCGACATAATGAAATACGTTCAGCCGCAAATCGCAAAAGGAGAAGAAATGCTGCCCAAGAGATTCAAGAGTTCCAAGAAGTAAGTGAAAAAACTTCCAGTAGGCAAGGTGCATCGAATTCGCATTTATCCCAACCAGCAGGGGCGGCTGAAACTCAGAAGATGGATGGAAACGGCACGATGAACTTACTGTACAATCGGTGTCTTATCGCAGTTGAAAAAGAAGATATCAAACGAGAAAAGAAGGCTCTGCGCGCACTATGTCTCAACGTCAAAAACTTAATGATACCAAACTCAAATGGGTCCTTGAAACTTCTTATGACATTCATGATGAAGCAATGAATGACTTGCTTAAGGATATTCTTCCAATTTTTCTGCTAATCGTAAAAAATTCAAGATAAAATTTCGTTCTAAAGAGGATTCTCAACGTCTTATCAAAGCATTGGGGTAAATCTCGTGGTGAATATTCATTTCTTCCTAATATCAAGTCATCAGAACCTCTTCCAAGAAAACTTGAATATGATCGTCGTTATGAATCGGCTTGGTGAATATTATCTTTGTATACCCAGCCCACTTGGAATACGGGCTGAAAATCAAGGTCCTGTATTTCAAAAGGTTTTTTATCTTTATAATATTTATTAAATTAAAACTTCAATAATTATATATTTAATGATTTAATAGGAAGAATCAGGTGTGCTTTCTTTGGATCCAAATGGAACAGCTGTTGAATGGAGCAAAACCGACATTGGCCGAGTTTACACAGATTATGTCATGCAATGACAAACTCCAAATCAAATTTATGGGAAAAAAAATAAGCAAAAACGTTACAGGTAATTAATTAATTGTTTGTTTATTTTAATGTATTTACTATATTTAATTGTAGACGTTACGAATTTATAAGAAAATCCGGCTTTGTGAAAATTATCGTATAATATTACTACTGAATTTCGCATTCAAGACTCGAGCCATGTGTACATGGTCACATTTTCGCTTTCGACAGCATTTGATCCATAAGTCGCGTGAATATCCATGGTGTCAAGTTGTAATTTGTACAGAAGAGTACACAAGCAAAACTTGCGGATTCTGTGGCTATATTCATAAAAAATTAGGCGGACCCAAGGAATTTTGCTGTCCTCAATGTAAACAAATCTTGATAGGGATATAAATGGTGCTCGTAATATTCTCTTACGATATCTTACAAAAAAGGAAAATGAGTCTTAGGCTGCCACGGAAGCCTATTCCCTTGTTATTCTAATTAAATTTTGCTTAATGCGAGGTTTTGTTAGTAATAATAAGTTTTAATGTAGGCGTTTGCATAGTAATAGTAACGATGATCACCCCGAGCAGAATTTGGACGTGAAAAGTTGTTTCCTCTTAAACTTTCTGCAAAATTAGTTATTCACATCTCCTGTCTGATGCACTAAATGGTTTATTTAAACAGCGTACGGCAGTAATATGAACAAAACTGTCTCTTTTTAAAAACGAGAAAAATTTTGATAGCAATCCATATGATCACATGATTTGTAATTTCAAAATGTATTCGAATAGAAAACAACATCAAAAAATACACAATTTGATCTCATGATGCTCATTCCAGCAAAAGGACTTGGTAGAAAATATATGTTTAATGAGCTTTATGTCCTTACTGAATATTCAAGCAACTACTTAATGACGAGGCTTTATCCTTATTGGCGATGCCAGGCGTTGTCATCGGCCAGCTTCTTTCGTTAACAATGTTTAATATCTTTAATGTAGATTTTGGATGAAAGGCTACAAACTGTTAGAAGAATATAACGACACTTTATAGATAGAACACTTTACTTCAAAAGCAGGGGGAAATGTTTCTAAACCTTTATCGAGTTGTGTATACGCATCCACCATTTGCTGTCTGTATTCATCAAACACAGCATTCGTTAGTGATTATTCATTCTCGCCTTTGGACATAGAATTACACTGTCTATTCACCTTTTATGGCCGCACATATACTCGAGTTCTGCCGTCCGTTTTGCACAATTTCGTTGCAAATGAGCGTACAGTCTCTGACCCTGCTTCTCTTTTTCTACAAACTTCCGTTCGATCTTTTTGATTGCTTCCTACAAACGATAGATCAAACTGTTCGGATAAGTACAGTAGTCTCATAGCTATACCAATCGAGAGCCGCAGACCCAGGTCAGACATGCCTGAAGACGTTGCTGTCCCTGCGCAATCCTTTCAGCCTCCCACCAGACGTTCGTCATTATAACTGATTATCGAGTTGTTGAGAAATTGAGTATTTGATGGCTGGTATCGAATTTATAATAATTTTGGATAATAACTAGACAATATACTGTATAAAAATTTTTTTTTCGTATGTTATCGCCATAATCTCGCTATATCTATGATAATATAATCTTAGCAAAGGCATCGTTATATCCAGTCCTGACTATTTTTTTTTTTGGTACGCACAAGAAAAGATAGAAGTATATTAATATTAAAGCAAGAAGCAAGTAAAATCCGGTCACCAAATGGTTGTATTTATTAGGGGAGGAACAAGTTGATTATGATCAATATGAATTTTATTGTGTGCTGTGTGTGCTGTTACGGCGTAGGACAATCACCTTATTATAATGCGAATTACCCTTTGTATTCAGCAGCGTATTGTCGCTAACACCAATACGGCGCTTCCCATCATCATAAACTCCAACCACCTACTTTCCGTAACAACCCCTGAATGGGGATGTTATCATAGTACATCTCGTTGAACAATTCTAGTTCTAGCCCAAACAACGAAAAGAAATCAATATGCAATTGTAAAAATGGGATAAACAAATCAAAATTTAAATATATGAGAAAAAGTTACAGTGAAACCTCTTTATACCGGTCAGCTCCGTCCACAGGGATTTTTGACCGGTATAAGGAAAACCGGTATAAAAAGGAAAATTATATATATTTTATAATAGTATGTCAAAAACGGTTCCTGAAAATTTTGGCCGTTATAGCAAAACCGGTATATCTGGGGGACGGCATAAAGAGGTTTCACTGTATGCATAAATTTACATCAACGTCAATTATACACCACTACCATTACCACCTCTACAAACTCATCTCCTTACACATATCTGCGTCAGAAAAGAAATCCCTTTTGTACAAGTCACTAAACGAAATTACGAACACAAACGGCTAGCTCAAAAGCACAAGACAGTCGAAAATAAAAAAATCAGGAAACAGCTTTATTTGCAATTTCTAACATCGATCGTCTACTGAAACCAACAACCGAACAAATCCTCCTCAAACTCGACCGTCTCCCAACTACGTTCTTCTAAAAAAAATCTGAAATTTTACTCGCAAGATTAAACTTTCCAAATATTAAATAGTGAAATATATATCTTTCTATAGCATTATATCAAAAATACAATCTTCAAGTCCATGTAAAATAAACACGAAGGGGCGCAAGAAAGATATTTAATAAGCTCAGTAACGAGTGCTTCGTTGATTAATTTGACGGTGGTAGCGTGTAGGTCGTAACCCAGCCCAGGTAGGTGTCATCATTGAATATCCCGATGTTCAATGTCATAAGTCTCTGGCAAATTTTCTGGCTTAATTGTGAACGGAAAATCATACTTAGTATCTTTTTTGACGGGACATGATTTATAGAGTTTACAGAAGTTGTCTGTGTATGTCTGGTCGTTGGATAAATAAATTAGAATAGTAGCGTTGTCAAAGTCAGTTGTTGCGGTCCCGGAGATGCTAAAAGTAACATCTTGGCCAGAAACCATGGGATCGGGTGACATGGATATGTCAAGAGATGGAAAGCCGAAACGTGAATAAAATTGGGTAGCTCGTTGACTTAATCTATGCGAAATAGCATTAATTACTGAAGTTGTAACCAACACAAAGAATATAAAAAAAATTGGGTGTTTCATAGTTGTTGTAGTTGCTAATTAGTCAATTAAAATTTTTCGGTTGATACTCCAACATGCTATCAGTGCCATCATTTTTATAAAAAAATTTCAGTTTCTTAAATAATATTTTGTAATATCCAAAGTTGAAGCAACTAATTTATGTATGTAATATTTCTGTCTCAAAATATTGTCCGTGTAACAGTCCGGATATCATGTAGTAATACGTAATAGTAACACACGGTAACACCGCCTAAAATGAATTGGGTGTCCTTACACCATGTGGGCGTACACAGGGTAATGTTTAATCGACAATGGGATATTAAAAAGACTAGTATGTCAACGGAGTGTTACATACTGGATCTGTTAGTAAACTTTAAGCTTAAAACGAATCCTTTTATCATGGATAACCCTTACGGTATTTTATTTTACCAAAAGTCAAACATTCTATTAGCGAGACCTACAGTACATTTATTCAATACTGTAATTATTGTATGTCGTCACAATTATAGAATGATGCGTAAGTTTCTACTTCAGTTTTGTCTTATCATTATGTGTATGTGGCAAGGCAACGTCAAATGAGTCATCAAAATTTTGTGATACTAGCTAGATACATCAAGTTTGTTGTTTGATCAATTGCACCCGCATTAGTATTAACCATGTATGGTATGGTATGGCAGTTTGTATATTCTGTGATCCAAGCCTTCTGCAAACAACCGTAGGGATACATTGGACGTTTCGATCAAAAGCATAATAAAATGTTTTATTATTATATAATCGTTTTGACAATTAGTCTAACTAGAACTATAGACCCGATCAGAATCCAGACTTATTCCGGATATCAAATTATAACACAGGGTAAGATCACCATCGGCATAGCCTAGACTAAATAAATTGGGGCGTCCTTAATTTACACCCCGAGGGCGTACGCACGAAGGCGAAAATGAGACAAAACTAATGCTAATAATGCGTTTATGAGTTTTACCCCCCCCCCCCGGAGTTTTGCATGGATTAATGTAATGTATAAAGAGCCTAATCAATTACAATTACAATTGAATATTAAAAAGACTAGTACGCAGGTCAACGGAGTGTTACACACCGGATCTGTTAGTAAACTTTAAGCTTAAAACAAATCTTTACGGTGTTCTATTAGCAAGATCTACACTTCTTCAATACTGTAATTATTGTATGTGTTGTATGTCGGTTTGGAATTTATGTCCATTCGGAATGGACATATGGTCGGATGGGAATTTGTGTCCATTCGGAATAGACATATGTCGGATGGGAATTTGTGTCCATTCGGAATAGACATATTAATATGTCGGTTTGGAATTTATGTTCATTCGGAATGGACATGTATGTCAGATTGGAATCATAAAGACAATCAGGTAACAACATTATAAAATTATTTTATTAACATTACAATATTAACTCGACTGCATATAAACACGTTATGATACAAAGAACGATGTACTAAGATTATGTGGGTGGCAGTTTAAGTTACAAATGACAGCAGCTGTGCGACAAGCACATCGGAGCCGTTGAACAGCTAGTCTTACAACTACATCTAATCTTGTTTAACTTTGAGCCGAAGGGGCTTTATTATTTTGACAGAATGCTTTGGGTTACAGAATGCGTTAAGTTAGTAATTGTCTTTCTATTTGTAAACAAATACAATTGTGAGCAAACATCGTCTGATCTGACATATCATTGTGAAGAATGCCTCTCATTATCGTTAGAACTGAAAAACGAGAATATTAAAATGGCGTAATATGCTTTGAGTTACAAATACGTGAGCGATTCCTTTTGTGCGGAAATAGCGCCTGACTGACATTAGGCATTGTGAAAGAATGCTTTGAGTTACTGAATACGTTAGTAAAATTTTCCCATTCGGTGGATGATATTCAAGACTTAACCATCTCGGTTTAAGCTTAAGGTGGTGCGACACACACATCTACCAGCCAACTTGTCAGCCAAATTTGGGCTAAAATACGGACAGATCGTGTGAAAATTAACAACACTGCTTTTCGATTTAGCGGTACCCTTGTAGATGATTTGGTTTAAGCGATAAGCAGAATGATAGAACAGAAATGTACTGTTCACTATCGCCATTGTTATTATGCATACAGTTATTGCTTGATGAGTTGAGTTATCAAACAAGGTTGTGCTAGATCATACAATTTAACGACTGGTGTGTGGTTTTTGACTAAGGATTCAACCATACGACTTGTGGTTCTGTCTGTATGTGCATAATTTGTCGAATAATCTGATAATTGATAACGGCTTGGCTTAATCAACATTTAGAATTTGTCAATACTTATACGAGAAACGACTAATTTTGTTTATTCGTTGTATTTTTTTCAGGTAAGGAATCCAGGCAATGTGATAGTTTTATTATAGGGTAACGAGTTCCAAAAAGAACATTTTGTCTTCGCCGATTGTTAGTAACCCCGAAATAACAAACAGTCACTCATTAGTTTCATTGTAGTGTTTACTAGCCTCGTATCTTCTTCTCTGACTACAGCGTTTATCATTTGTTCTACCCTTTTGCTGTTAGTAACAGCGTTGTATTCGTTATAAGTAGCTTGAAAAAATCGAACATTGGATAATTTTTTGGCAGAGTCCTATCGTAGAGCCTTTCGTACGTAACTGCTAAGTCCACTAGATTCTCAAATTCGCATGTCATCAATAAATAATAATGCTGAAATAATATACACCTGACTTCTGAGTAAACTTGTGAGTACGGAAGACTTCCGGCACGGCACAATAAAGGGTAAAATGTCTCGAATGGTTGAATTTGACTTGATTGAAATTTGTCGATTGAGAAACCTAATCAACGACCTTCCCATCGTCGATATTCATTAATTTATTGCATTAAAGAAATGCTTATACGTAATATTGCTGATATGTCGCTACATCTTGGACCATCGTATTGATGACATCTTTAGCGTTAATTTTGACAGATAGCGTCTGTGCTTGGCATAGTTTGGGTTTTTTCATAGAATTTTTGCGGATATATATTAGACTCACAAATGTACAGAGAGAGAGAAGGGGGAAAGTTTGTTTACTTTCAAGAACACATTAATCCATCCAGACAATTCAGTTTTTGCAAAAAAATAGTGGAAAAGTTTGTTATTTATACCGAATATCTAACAACTCTCTTTATGTATTATGCAACTAACACCTGACGATCAACAAGTGCAGCCAAAGTTAGTATCAGCAAAAAAGTATCGTAATGTTGCATATTGCAAAGACCAATTAAAATTTTAAATAAAATGATTCGCTATCACAAGAATTAAATAGGTCACACCAAACACAAGCATCTGATGGTGCATAGAAACGAACTTGAAACAACAGGGGGAAATTTATGATCACTTGATGCGACTAAAAAAATCATTAGCGATCAATGGTCATTACTTAACAATTAATTATTAATTAAACATGAAAAACGAATTGAAACCCAAATATCGTCAGCGAATAGAATTAAATCTTTAATTAATCAGAAAATGAATAATATCCGTAGTATGCAATCTTAGAAAAAGAACAATGATTATAAACAGTAGAAGGTCAAATTTAGTTAGTTAGTTAGACAACGTAAAGACAAAATTGGACTCTAATTTGCCCACAAAGTATTATTGTCTCTCTCTTTTTTTACTAATTATTAATTAAATCGGATAACATTTTCATGCAAAGCGATAATTATTTTTAATTTTTAATTTTTAATTTTTTAATTAAGTAATAAAAATATTACCGGTCTTTTATTATTAATTTAATAATTAAAATTGAAACAGTGCGGTACGTAAGGTAAAGGAACTGGGTAGATAAATAAACATATCTGAAGATGGTACGTTCGTAAAATCAATTTCAGCACAACATTATACAAAAAACGACTAATTTTTTTTATTCGCTGTATTTTTTTGGGCAAGAAACCCAGGAAATGTTATAGGTTTAATAGGAGTAACGATGTACAAAAAATTTTAAATAAAAAGAAGACGAGTGCGGAGACGAAAAAAGTGAGCCAGTCTTATGCTTAGTCTTAGTCTTAGTCTTAGTCTATGCATATGCATATGCATATATATATATAAAATCTGCCGGACTTTGCGACTGACAAATTTGGAAACATGGGTTAGCGCGTTTTCCTAATTAATGCCAGATCAACAGTAGATCAGCGTACAAATAACAAATAAAGTTTAGTCTTTTTATGAAAAAAGTAGGTTGTCAAACGAAGGTGCAGAGGTTGTGTGACTGATTGTCCGACTAAAAGTATAAGGGGTTAACTTCGACTATCACATAATCAATATTTTCTTGACTTAAGTTTGAATGTTTGATGCCGAAAATGATCTAATACCTCTTATTTTCTCTTTACCAATACTAACAAATAAATCATATATTTTTCCCACTCTCTCCTTTCTTTTTTTTAATGCATCATTGGTGATATTATCGGGAAGTTGTTTCCGGATTTCATCATTAACAAGAGCCCAGCAAGCTCGTTCCCCATGTTTGAGATTCTTATAATGATCGAAACGTTTTTTCATAGCTTTGCCAAAGTTAAAATAACTTCCCTACTTGCTATCTCACTTTTAGATTCAGTCTGCGTAATTTTGCTATAATGGTACAAAAAATTATTGGTGCTTTCGTTGACTTCTATTGCTTTTTTAGAATTTTCAGGTATCGTTGATGTCAATTCGTCAATAAGTTTTTTTAATATAAGAGAGTCTTCCTTTGAAACCCGCTTCTTCACTTTCTTGCTGGATGATTTGTCGGTAAATTCACTAACGCGCTTTGCAGGCAGACTTGAGTATTTATATTGGGACAAACTTGGGAAATGGAGGTCAGTAGATAATCTCGGGGATATATCCATCAAATCGTTGGTATTTTGACTTCCAGGCGTAGCATCAACCGTAGATGAGACATAGTCTCGAGGCCTTGCCTCTTTTACCTCCTTCTTGCAATCAGGTCTTGGGCATATTGAATGTTTTTTGATAGAATTTTCGATACAATCGCGATGATATATATGACCGCATATGAGTATGGTAATCGAGTTTTTTATTTCATACAAAAAAAGCTCTTGGTTGCATAACGAGCATGGATCTAGCTCCGGAACATCCACACTTTCCGCAATCTTTTCTGAGAATGAATTTTTTAGAATATTTAATGCAAGGGCTTCGAGAGATAAGATATTAGCAGACATTCCGGCACTTTGTAGCTGAAGAGTGGGTCTACTCATTAATAGAATTTTGCTCACCAAATTACGTACAAGGCACACGTAGATCTCGGAATTGTCTATCTCGGAATTGTATATCTCGGACCTGGAGATCCAAAATGAAAATTTTGATTAGGGAAAACATGTGAAATGACAGGTATATGTGATAGCAAAGACACGAATCCCCGACTCAAAACATATATATATATATGAGCGAAATCATGCCTTCATTTTATTCATATCGGAAGAGAAAGAAAACCATGGTAGGTATATGCTTATAGCAGAACTCATCCACATATTTCATACTCATGTCTAATAATGTATTGTTTAGAATTATGATCCTCTCGTGGATTCGGGAAACAAGGGCAAACAGTTTAATATCGAGTTTCTTGTTATTCCCATCCTGGATTTTTCAGATTTCCAACCAACTATCTTAGGTATAGTCTTGTCATATTCGAAAAAGAATCTATCAATGATGTAAAAGCAAAAATTCAGTGGCATTTTCCAGAAGAGTTTAAAAATATTCCTTTAATATTCGAGTATCTGATCCCAAGGTCAGAACATACAAAGACATGAAATTGCAAGATAAAGTTAGTGATTATTTTGATAAAAATCCTGTATCGGGTCATATTCATATTATAGTAGAATCCATTATTTAGGTTTTTATATCTACAATATCATCAGCGTATATTAAAACTTTGTAATATGTGGTGTGGTTACGACCATTTAGGCCGATTGTCTTGTTAATAATAAAAAATACATACGAGACGGGAAAACTATCTACCAGTTATTCTTCGGTAAATTTTTTGCTCCTAGCCTTCTTACTGGTTGGGAAGTTCACATGACTGCGAGACAAATCTATCCCGGAAAAATGCCGATACAAAAATCGATTGCGTATACAGATATTCGATCAGGCACGTAAGTGCCATTACTTCGTAATACATATCACAGAAGAAAATCGAAGGTCGTGGAACTTTCATGCATGATGCAATCGTACGACCCCAAATTTCTGAAATAAGCGTAAGACTATACCACGGAACTTTTTATAGTACCCTAGCCATGGCGAAAAAAATGGTTCGGACCATGTGAAAATGTTCGGATCACGTGGAAATGTTCGGGTCGG